AATTTTATTTATTTTTTTAATAAATGAATTAATCCTCGAATTAAAATTTTAGTTTTTAGTGGTTAAATTGCCAGAAATAATCTTTTCTTTGACTTTAGTTTATAGATCAAACTTGTACTTTGATAAAATACTGTAAAAGTGGAGTTATTTTTATTTCGTAATTGAATGCAGGAATTAAAAGTTTATGTAATAAATTCTATTATAAATTAATTTGGAAAACTTTGCGTATCTTAATAAAATTTCTTTTACTTCCTCGAATATTAAGTACTTTAAATGGAGTTCACTGTATTTCATAATGTAATACGACTACAAAAGTCAATGTCCATTTTTAGGGAAAAGTTAATACTAACGTTGAACTTCGATTTCTGAAACGCATGAAAATGCTTTCACAGTCCAACCAACAAGTTATGTACACATGTGTTATGTAGCATACATATTTTCGCATAGGGACAAAAAGTTTGACAGACAGATGCTGAGATAGATACCAACAGTTAGACAACCATAAAGACAGATGGACGGACGGCAAAACATGTATTTTCTAACTTATATAGTTTCATTTGTTTTAATATTATTGTTGTTGTTGAGAATTGTTTTTATTTCATTTTCATATTGCTTTTGTTTCCGTTTTATGAAACCAGCGTTTCCGTTGATTTATGCGCATACATGACTGTGTACATACAACAAAGTCACATCAATAAAGTTGGCGACGAGCGGATGTTGTTGATATTGTTATGAAAAATGGCGTACCCGGAATACTATATGCAGCACAAAAAGACTATCAAAGCAGTAGAGCAAAGTGTGTAGTAGGAAATAAACAGCTACAAAAAAGTACAAAAAAATTAAGGAAAATAAAAAATTAAATGGATTCAACGCAGTTGAGATTTCCGCACTGTCAGTTCCCACAACTATACGATATGTGATCTCTTTGCATTTTACTTATATTATATTTCAATTCAATTGATTGACAGCTGAATGACAGTATCAGCAACCCATTACACTACAAAATAACTGAAGTTGATAAATGCCAACATAAAACAACAAATAAAGACACTTCATGATATTTAAGCACCAAACTTTTATTGGCGTAATTTATTTTTTAATTAAAATCATGTTAAAATAAACTACGACAACATAAATTCACTACGAACATTTAAAATGCAGGCATGAAATAAAATTAAATGGTGGTAATTAAAATATAAGCCATACGCCTGCAAAACAAAAATTCAATTAAAAAACAGTGATTATAAATGTATGTGACAAATGTATGTGACAAATGTATGTGCGGCAATTGCAGTTTATAATTTTAATTTAATTTTTTATTGATTTCACAAATTCCACATTTGTTAATTATACTTTCACACCTCAAAAAAAAAAATTGTCACTTGCCATATTAAAAATTTAGCGCTACTTAACACCCTCTTATGTCCTGGCAGGCAACAGAAAGATGCGAATATATGTGGCGACGATTGATTTTATGTACTGTGTGGTTTAATGTTGAAGTACTTTAACGTGAAATATACGATTTATTTTTATTTATTGAATATTTTTGTCTTTCAGTGCTTTTCTGTGTAATTTTGTGAAAATTATTGACAGTAAGAGCCCAACAGCAGCTTATATATCCATCAATTTAATTTATTTAATGGAGTCTTTTCGCACATAAAGAAGAAATAAAGTAGCAGAATTAAAGACAACAAAGTTGTCAAGTAATTAAATAGAGAGACTGAATCATTAAATAAATCGTTTATTTACCATCAGCAATTAAAAGACATTTTCCCAATAAAATTGAAATTAAAAGAACTGTAATCCTCGCTCTTTAAATGTTTACAACTTCTATTAATCCACTTCAATAAGTATCTTTAAACAGACAAATAGTCACAAAAAATATATATTTTTTCATTGCCTTAATTGCATTTAAAGCTAAAAAATATAATTGTATAATAATAATAATAAAAATACTTTTTATTTTTTATTGCACAGCATATGGTAGCGATTAATAATAAAATTACATATTTTATAAAATAATTTGCTATGAACATTTATTTTGATCCTTAATATACTTCCCAAAACCTGCCTAGTTAATAAATTTTATATTGATTTTTTATGATGAAGTGAATTCTTCATCATTTCTTATACTATAAATATAGTTCTATAAATGAAGCAACCTTTTTTAAAAGCTTTTCTACAAAATAACTATTTTCGAACATATTTTATTCTAGAAAATCAATACCTTCACTCCCAACACGGGTACATTTTTTTGTTGTGTTATCCTTGCCATAAAATAATAAAAACGAAATAAACTTTGGAACTCTGTTACAAAATTTCTCAAAGTAAAAAATAGAAGTTCAATCGTGTGAAATGTTTGTTTTTATAGAACATTTTTAAGACTTTTAGTTGACTTTTAAATTTAATTCATAAAACTTTTCAATTAGTGTGAAGCATGCCACACTTAAGATTTGATGGGTTCAAGTTTTCAGTTCAACAAAAACCCTTATTACTTTTTACTACTACAAAAAACAAAATACTATGTGATCTAACATAAGTAAAATAAAATAATTCTATTTATAATAAAATTTATTAAAGCATTTGAACTTAAAATACAACTTATATTCACAAATTATTGGTCTCGCCCGTGCGACTCGCGGAGTAACATTAGCATGACTTTTTCAGTATTACGTTCATGGATTAGGTTTTATACATAAGAAAGAATATAGAAATTATACAACAAATAATGCCTCCACAAACAGAATAGCCTTGAAATATAACAATTAAAAATAAAAATATAATTAATTATATCACTTCGTTCTAATAAAACACAGCAAGTGAATTTGTTAATGAACTTCCACAGCAAATAAACAAAACTCCAGAAAAAATGGCGATCATTAAAATCAAGTACGGCTTTAGGTCTGGGCATGAGTTCAATCTATGATACTTGCTGTTGCAAAAAGAATTATTTCCAAGACCACTGATGATGGGTATTTGGCATTACTCGAAACAGCTGTAAGGTTAGCCAACAATTCAATTAATTAAAATGATATAAAAAATGAATTTTTGTTGTTGTAGTACACTACTGTTCGAAAAAACCTCTTTATATTTTTTATTTTTAAAAGAAACTTGAATAACATTTTAAGATTATTATTATTTTATTTTTTATTTTCAGTAAAACGAGATTCCAATTTGGTTTAAGTCTTATAGTGAACATCAATTGTAGTATCATTCGTATGCAAATAAAAATTCAGAATTTTGAATGAGTCTACTTGATTCTTGGAAGGCTGATGAACAATTTTATCCACCGAATCCTCATCATCACTTTCCGTTCCGGTTAGAGTTGGATCCACTAATTCAGAGCTATAATACTCAATAATATCGTTACCTGTTATAAAGCTTGATGTACAAATTTCATCAAGTTCAATATACATAAGCGTTAAGAGTAGCATTGGAAATTATTTTATTTACTTTAAACCATGTTGCTAACGACAAGAAAAAATTACATATTTGGTTTGCGAAAAGGGACTTCCCCTAACACCAAAATAGATTCATACTTAAAACAAAATTTCGACTTTAAGAATGTACTTTCCCATATTCCTATTGCAACGTGACAATATTTTTTATTTTTTTATCTCTTCATTTAAGATAAAGAGAAATTCGAGTTATAGAAGTTCGAGTTATGAAAGCAGAATTGTATGTAATTTGCTCTCTAAAACCCTGTTGCACTCTTTGTAGTTCGAATTATAGAAGTTGGACTGTATTATATTTATCAGCTATAATTTTTTAGTAATAAAAAAAGAATATCCTAATTAGTCATGACTACTTGGGTCTTTAGACCAGCTGAAAACTTATAAAAACTTATTTAACTCATCTGGGTTAATACTTTTCGAAGAGAAATTTTCAACCTATTCTATATTTAAAAAAGGGGAACTCTTTATTATCATCTACATCTAATTTGTATAACCATTTTATTTTATCATTGCAAATTGCAAATTGCTATAATATATAATAAGTATATAAAGGATTTTTGTAAGCCTATAATTTGTTTAAAACTGAAATTTACAACTTAAATAATTTATCAAAAACTTTTTGAAATTGAAATTGATTGAAAGTGTCTTCAATTAATATTTATTATTACATCTTCTACTGTAAATCTACGTTTTCTATTTAACTTGTTTACAAAGTCACATTATTTTTAAATTAACTTTTTACGAAAATTCAATTTATTCTGAAATGTTTGCATTTCGTGCAAATTAAAAGTTAAATTGCTTCAAATTTACCAAATAAAAATACTATTAAACTCAAATAATGAAATTTCCGTAAGAAATATAACTCTCAGTGCCTGTGACTTTTGACTCGAAGTCCTTGTGGAGTGTGGGTGTGTGCCTTGCTTATCGCAATTATTATTTTCAATTTAAACTTAAAAGGCATATTCACACCCACTTCATTGAGTGAATACATTTGTTGCTTAACTCGAGTATTTAACAATCGCATTTAAGGCAGAAGTCTGTACATTGAGAAAGACAAACTACACAAAACTCACGAAATATTTTGTCTGCTGGTAGGTGTTTTAAATGAAGCAGCGCGCACTGCTGTCGCAACTATGCAATCAACTTTTTTAGAAACATGAAAGCAAACATAAAAGCAACACTTCACACCTTAGTCAAGCAATTTTCATACACAAAAAAAAAAAAAAATTTTGAATATATATCACATTGAGCACAAGATACGAACTTTCACAGGAGCGGACGGAATTTATAGGACAAGCCATTGTTAGGGGAGAATTCAGAGTTCACACAAATAAAACAAACAATTTATTGTACATATAAACATAGGCGTGCAAGTTGTCGGTGAAAGTTGCTGAAAATATTGTGCAACTTCAAGCACACATTGCGGCAGTCATTGAGATATAAACCAGTCTCAACAATAAGTTCGTTGGAAGCACATCTTAGAGTTTCATTTTTGCATGTATCTATTTTTGTGAAGATAGCTTAGGTAATGAAATTCGTACTTACCGCCGACAAAAATGTCAAGTTGTGTCCAATTAAGTTTTGATGCGATGCTCTTCACTGCAAAGGAAATTGCTTCAAACGATGGAAGAAAATTGCTTGATTCCTGAAAGTAGATAAGCAGAGTATAGAATACTGAGTGTGAAGTGTTATATAGATATATAAACATTTGCATAAAATACTGCAAATTGAATTGCTTGTTTTATTTAAACTACTTTTATTTAGTATTAAATTAAATTTTTAATTTTTGCAACGAAATGGTTATATCAGCGCCATATGCTAATGAGGTGCTTTAGTATGAAAGGCAGTCAAATTAAAATGTTAAACGTTGAATATTTATATAGTTAGAGCACGATTTTCACTTCATGCTATATATGCATATTTTTGTTATAAATTCTTGATTTGTGTTTCTAATACATCACGATGCGAGTAAAGGAAATTTTATGTTGCTTTATACTAATAATTAAAAGGTGAAGTGAAATTTCAAAGCAATTTTAACTTAAAGAATTGTTGGAGTCAAAAAAGAGAGTATCTCAAGCTGCATAAGACTATAAGAAATGTTTTTTTAAAATGATTAAAAATTAAAAGATAAACATTGTACTTCTAATGCAATGATGGTATATACAAGGTACAATGTAAAAGAGAATAGAATCATGAAAATGCGAACACTTCACATATTTATCAAACTAAGTGCTTTAATATGTATTGGTTGCACTGTTAGTAGTATTTATGTTAATTGTTAGTTAGCAGTGAGGACTTCGTTTGCGTTTGTTAAGATAATGGAACGCACTCAGAAGTGTTTTTGACGATTTTTTTGAAGGGATACTATAGGATCAAAAAGTTATTGTGATATTATGTATTGAGAGTAGATTCAATATGATAAAGATGATTTTTAGCGATAAAACTATGTCACAATGATCAGTCTGTAAATAATATAAATATTTTAAGGAAATTTATAATGATAAGAAAATACGACATTTGGCCCTTCTGATATATTTATCACAGATGAAACGGTTGAAAAAATTAAATAAATTCTGTTTGCAAATAAAAGAGCCTATAAAGAGATTATATAAAAAAGTAAAAATATGATACGGCTTAATAGAATAAATGGCAATAAAATTAATCTGAAACTACACAACTACTATACAGTTCCTGACGAACGAAGTCTGATTATAATACCGGAATTACTCTACTTGTAAAACTTAGTACTCTAAAGTGAGTATTATACATCAAACTTTTTTGCTAACCTTTTTTGACGCCGCTTGTTATTAAGCATTAAATCAGTCGACATTTTTTTGAATACGTTCCAGCATATTAAGCTGGATTTTTTATATTTTTTAAACTCAAGAACATATTTAAAATATAACTCGTTTCTAAAATCAAAAACTGTGTTGATATGGTAAATATTAAAGAATTAAAAAACTTCTTATGGAAATTAGACTTTCCACATTATTTTTCCTTTTCCTATTCTAATTAGAGTTCTTGCCATATTACAAAAAAATTTGTACTTTTAATACTTTCTGAAAAAATTAAAATTTCTCGTTATTCATTCCTCGTCAGATCTCACAAATATACAAAAATATTTATTTTTTTTTGTTTAAACCCTTTAACATAGTCTGTTGTATGCGTTTCCTTGCCATACTATACAAATGTTACCCTTTCTATCATACTTATTAGTCTATTGACTACTAAAATCTGAGATTGCCTACAAACAGTCAAAACAAATTATTTCTTCATTTAACAGAAAAAATATGTTGCTTCTACATAAATCGATAAACAAAGTCGTCATTAATTATTAATGTCCGTCCGTTCTGTTGTCATATTAAAATATCATGATAATAATATTAATACCACATAATGACCAAAGCTTTCAACAGTGCTTTGTGCATCAAAATGATTAATTACCAGGCAATTTATGATTTTCTGTTGCTTATTTTGTCTTAAAAATAAACACAAGATAGGAATTCATGATATTCTCAACGCTAGAACGGAAAGGATATGAATAATAATTGCGGAAAATGAAAATAATTTTATCATGTCAAATAATCAGCACAATATAATCTGGTGTTAAACTCTTTTTTTATAAAACTATTTATATTTACATTAAAGCTTATATCCTTTCACTCAGGCATTTATACACTCTCCCTTTTTGTGGTTGTTTTTCTTCTTATTGTGTACTAGCAATTCAATCAGCTTCGAACAATGTATTATGCTAAAGTAGTCCTTAGACAAATGTTTTAATGCCCTCTGTATACAACAAAATTTATTGTGTGGTCAAACATCCAAACCTATACAACATAAATATGGTACATACATACATCTTTTGACATAAATATGTTCAATACAGACATGTGTGGACTGCTGATATATGACATGCATTTCTATAAGCCTTCGGAATATATGGCAGTCGTACTCTGGCAGTATGTGGCAATCAATAACTCAAAACTGGGTTTATGTGATTTCCCAGTATTTTTCTTATTCACATTTTTTGAGTTTGTTTGTTGACAGATTACAAAAAGGGCTAAAATGTTTGATTCGAGCCTGGCATGGCATTGATCCCTTTCAACCGGTATTGACCTTTTCAATAACTCCCACTTATTGTCCTGTACACAAGCAGTGCGGAGAACAGAAATCGTATGAATGGTGCTGTCTTTTGGGACACATCATTTGACTTTCTTTCATTCCTCGAGCCATTGTTGATGGTCTGACAAAATTAAGTTTGAAGTGTTTCATTTCTGTTGAAACGATGTTGATGCGATTATAGGTAAATCTCTTTAAAGAAAAATTCGGGTTGTAGTTTTCCTTATGGGATTTAAAAAAAAATTAAATTTTTTGAAAGTTTAATTTAAAACCGAGAAGATGTAAGAAATGTATAATTAGAAAAAATTTTATGTGAAATTTGGAACGTAGAGCATTAGAATTTAAGAAAGAAAATAAAAAAGAAATTTACTTTTATTTATGATGCGGTGGCGTATGAGTATTTTTTTATTCAAATAGATTTAAAAAAATTGGGTGAATAGCTATTACTAAATTCCATTTTTAAAAAATTTTTTATTTATTAAATTGATTTTTAACCTTCGTTTTGACAAAAGAAACTAATATAAAGTATTCTTTTTAATAAAGAAGTATTTCCATAATTTATAATATTTCAGTATATATTTGTATAATTTATTAGTATATATTTATACAGGCTAATTGGTCAATATTAAACAATATACAATTTTTTAAATAAATTTTAAGAATTATATTTTATTGTTACTGAAAATGACTATTAACTACAGTCAAAATATTGGTAAAATTAAAATGTGTGTTTTTTAAGACTAATTTAATAGTTATGTTACATATAAATTAAATTTATATTCTATGAACATTAAAAAAAATGTTTAAATCGAAAATTAAATTTTTAATGGTCTATAGAGCTGTTATAACTAACGTATATCAACGACCACTGGACTTTTGAAGAAACTTTACGTCAAATTATGAGTTCTGTCAAATTTTAATAGTTGGATTAAGTCAATATGCATTTACTTTTCTTCCTTTCATATTTTGAGTTTTGTGTTTATTCCTTCAAATAATAGTTGATTAATCTTTTAGGAAAGATTATGTTTGTAAATAAAGATGATTTAATTTCAAATAGCACCCAATGAAAAGTTTTAGAATACGGAAGACAAAATAAGTGCAATAAACTTTATACGTATCTGAAATGAGATAAATTGGAAAAAGGGATCGTAAGTTATCCTAACATTATTTGATATAAGCTAGTCACAAAGATTTTATTAACAAAATGGAAGAAATGAAGTCACTACTGCATTAAGGTTGAGCTTGTTAATTATACTAAATTTAAGGGAATAAATCTAAATTACGTATCCTGCAGCAACTAAATACCATTGCGAGGTGAATTTACAAATAATAAGTAATACAGTGAGGTGAAAGTATGGAAAAAACTATTAATAATAAATTAAAAAAAAAAATGAAACTTAATGCTCGGGAACATAAGGTTCAAATATTTTCTAATGAATAATCAACTAGTCAATTAATTGACTTACATGGTAAAAGGTAAAAGTATTACTTGAAGAAAA